GGAGGATGAGGGGGAGGGGAGGAAGGAGAGGGGATAGAAAGGGGAGGAGAAGGTGGAAGAGGATGATGCATGGACCAGCGAAGCATGCGACAAAACCATTGTGTAAGCCTCGTCACATGTATAGGCTGCCGACGCTGGCGAGCACGAATGTAACAAGTCCATCCTCGGGCCAATGTCGAAGGACTATGGCCAAGGGAAAGCAAACGGCGGACAAGCATAGTTGCTGCCGTTCTGAAATCATGCCAATTGTCACAAATCTGCTCAAACCGCGTAAGCTGGCCAGTGAACACACCTGCAGGCTGATGAGATGGAATGTTTGACGTTGCACTAGGGTATCGTATGACAGGAAAATCCCATGCAACAGTCTTATCAAACACACTCAATTGGAGAGATCCATCTGTTCGTGTCTGCAGTTTCGCGCCTGAAAAAGTGCAGGAACCATCAGCAGCAGTCGTCTCCTTCCATTCAAGATCATATCAAGCTGGCGATGGTGGCAGACAACCAAAGTGGATTGTCACTTATAGTGTAATCAGTTATGGGATTCTGCAGACTGTTGAGGGTTCAGCCTCCTGATGAGTCGGTGAAACTCCGACGAAACAGTTTGTCACAGCCCCTCCTTTGTTGTCCTCTTCTCCTTCTCTGCCTACGCTTTACCGAGCAGCTCTGTTTGACTATATTTATGTCTATTTGTATACAGTACTATACACTCCCGTTCTTTTTCCTTTCTGGCAGGTTAGGGTGGGGGGAAAGGGTAAAAAGAAATAGAAAAGAAAAAGAAAAGAAAAAGGAAAAAAAAAAAAAAAACTTGGAAAAAATAAAATACAAAGAACAGATTGGGGGAGGGGAGCGAGGGCTGAGGTTGCTGTAACGCTGGGGATATGCTTAACACATGCCGGTGAGGAGAAAGAACTTCCTTGGAAGTTTTTCTGCAATCACTGGTACCGTCAAAAATAAGAAAATGAAAAGCACAGATTTGGCGGTGCTGCTCACTTCAATGCAAGTTCTACCAGAAATGTGGACAGAAAAAAAAAAGATTCTTTCTGGCTTATGGCTCTGCTGTACCCCACCCCCCACCCCCC